TTTTTTTATGTATGGTGACATAAATGTACATATAATAATTATTTGAATGTTTATTTATCAAATTTTATTTGTTACAAAAGATTCAGAATAATGCCAAACAATTGAAGTGCTACAAATTCAAATATGTGTATGTTACATTAGAACAGAGTGTGATACTTGTTATAAATTAGAATGTTATACTAAATACTAATAATTAAAAGTGTATAGTATAAGGATATAAGTGATACAATGAACCAGAATAGGTACCAAAAAAGATCATAGATGACATTTTGTAACTGTTACCTTCAAGTGTTACACTTAATTATATAATGCAACACAAAACAAATGTGTTACAAAAAGATGATACAAGTGTTACCTAAGACAATAGGTAGCACGAACAACTATAGCGCCAATAATTGTGTTACCTATTGTCTATAATAACATTTTATTGTCATTATGTATCATTTTTTTGGTGCTACCTAAAGATATTTATGTTGTAGTGCTTATTGATATTTATCAGATTTTCATCAGGTATATTTATTTTTTTGACTGGTATTATCTTTGGCGGTTTAAGCCTTTGTTTTAACCTAATTATATATTTTATTTAAAGATAAAAGAAATAAATAAAGGGTAAAAAAAAGTGAAGTCCTTTCACATATAGAAAGACTTCCATAATTATTTTGTCTCTCTCATGACACATCATCTCCAATAGAAGTGCAAAAATTACTGCTCGAGAAGTTTTTTAGGGTACTACTTCTACAATCTCACAACAAACAATCCATTGGAGATGCTCTAAGTGGGTGATTGGATATGAATTCAACTAGTAAAAAATTAGTTTTTTTTAACTATAATTAAGTTTAAAAAAAGTAGTATGATTAATTGTTAGTCGATATATTAAAATAATATTTAAATTTAAATAATTAAAATTGATTTGATGTAAAAATAGGAGAAAATGATTGGAGTGATGGTTAGTTAAAATTATTTGAGTGGATGAATAGTGAATTAAAGTTGATGTGATGTGTGATAATGATTGGTTGACATTATTTAATTATATTGATAATATTGGAGATAGTGGAGTTGGATTCAAGTTGAGTTAAATTGAGTTTTGAGTGAGATAATTACTGTAGAATTCATAAACAATCACGCCCTAAACGGCTGCTCCGCGCGGGTCGAAGGTGCTGTGCGGGTTATGCCGATCCGCGGGCCAGCCCGCCTCCTTAAAAAAAGTTATATGTCGCAATTATCGACAAGTCTGGTGACGACGATCGGGCTTGATTGTTTATGAAATAATTGTTCAAAATGAATTATTTTAATTAACTATAGTTAATTTTAGAAAATGTAATATAATTAGTTGCTAGTAAAATTTTAAGAATATATTAAAATAATATTTAAAATAAAATGATTAAAATTGATTTAATGTAAAAGTAAAAAATAAATAATTAAAAATAATAAGTAATCAAAATTATGGGAATAGTTGAATAGTGAATTAAAATTAATATGCTGTACGATTAATTTATATTATTTAAATATATAAATAATATTAAAAATAATAGAGTTAGAACTAAAATTAAAGTTAAATTTTGAGTATGAAATAAAATTGAATAAATTAATTCGTAAACAATCAATTACAAACGTGCCAAAACCTAATATCCATTCTCGCCGAAATAACCCAGCGGCTACCCCCAAACGGTCGACGGACAGCACAGAGAGCAGCTGCGACGGCAACAAGGAGCAGCTTCCATCCGGCGGGCGGGAGGCGGCGGCGAGAAAGAGGACGCAAAGAGACTTGCGGGGCGGCGACTGAGAGAGAGAGTTCCGGCGAGCGGCGGTCCCAGGTTTTTCACATTTTTTTTTCAGATCAAATATTTTCTCGAACTCCCGCCACCACACGCCATCCATCTCCGGCGTCCATCAGCAGCAACGGCCACCGCCCGGCGCCTCAACGACAGTAGATGTTATAGCCTCTTCCTGTCCTGCCCGATCCTGAACACATAGAAAGGAAATATATTATTTTGTAGAATTTGATAAAGAGAAAGCTCTATATGAGTGCGGGATTTGGTGGGCTAGAGTGGGGCTTTCTGGAACACTGCTTGTGAAAAAAAAAAAAAGCTCTATACTTTACCAATTTACCTCTTGGTTTCTGATTTGGTGATAATTGTTTCATTCCAACAGCAATGGTGGACAATATCGAAGGAGCTCTCAAAAACGAATGGAACACTAAAGATCTAAAGATCCTAACCTCTCAAATCAAGGACAACGAATCACTCATTAGGCTCAAGCGCAGGTAAACAGTCATACAGCTTTACTCGCCTTTTGATTTGTTGGTCGTTGTTTTTTTATTTATTTATTTATTTATTTTTGGTTATTTCATACCATGAGCTTACAAAGAGAGTTGCCGAAATTGCTTGGCAGGTGGTTGATGGATTTGCCCTTGTCTGTAAAGGAACACAAGAAAATGGAGGAGATGCTCCCTCCCAACGATAAGTAAGCAACTATTTATTCTAATTGCTATTTGTACTTTTACGTTACTAGGTATGATTTGAGCATTCTGTCATGAACATTATGCGTAGATTCGCTAATTATTGACTGTTAAACTAATGTTTCACTGTTAAACTAATGTTTCACTTGAGCACAATATGAATTACTTGAATGATTAAATCCTTGAATTTAAAATGCAGTGTTCGATCGGCCGTATGGATATCAAATTATGTTTTATTTGGGTGTATAGTTAAAATGTTGTGCTTTTATGTTGTTGTGATGTTATCTGACATGGTTTATAACTCTTAGTTAAATGAAGAATCAATGAGGATGAACGTGAAATTTGTGACAGAAGATGTGGATGAAGCAATTCTAATCTCACGCTCAAATGTTACAGTTAATTGTATATATGAAAGCAGGGATACATCTCTGTCTTATTCAAATAGGATTGTCAGAGAAACAGAAGCCGAGATTGGTTTTCTTTATTTATTTACTTTCTGTGCTTTTAAGCCGTTTTCTGTGGGTTGAACTTCGTCATGAAACAGAAACTTCAAAATGGCCTTATTTAATTATTAGTTCCTCCCGTATCTTCTTATGTATAGTCCTTCATTAACTTGGAAGCTTCTCAATGTGAGGGAAAATAGAATGAAATTATCTTGATTTCTCTTTTTTCTTTTTTGCTTGTAGGGTACTGCCGGAATCGTTCATTAGGGAAGATGACGTGAGTATTCGTATTATGCTGCACTATATCGCCCTGTCTTATGGTTTTTGTTTACTATTATCATGGTTTACACCATGATTTTATATTGCATTACTGAATTCTAAAGAAAGAATGATGAAGCAATAATTTAGAAACACGTACATGAATATATGTAGAATTTTGTTCCTGGTGTCGTGAAATTCAGCAACAATTACTAATAGATATGCCTGGTGAAATAAGTTATGTTGATTATGGGAATGTAAGGAGAATATGACAAACTCAAGGAACTTTTTGGAGTGCCAACTTTACCGGTGTTTAATGTGTAGTAATTTTGTAATAAAATTGATCAGTTATGTGAAGTAGAGAACATATAGATTCTCCTTGGTTATAGACTACCTGCTGTATTATTGAAATGGAGAAGTTGAAAAAATGGCAAAGAAATCAGTGAATTACTTTGGTGGCCATGGCCCATAGAATGCTTATATTGATGCATGATTGAGGTTTTTATCTTACATATACTCATTTAATCACAGGTAAGCTATGAGGACATCAGAACTGCGATCGAGATGGGATTTGGAGCTCATAGCTGTGGGAAGGAAAGGCAGTGTACCCAAGAGGATGTGCAAGTATTTAATCCACGCGAATGTCTTCAAAAAATTTGCTCCCTGCTTGATGATATGTCTAATAAAGGCTTATGCTCTCTAATTGAGGTACTCACCGGGGGAATGATCAATTATGAGAAAACAAATTTGAGCATGAAGAGGACAATAAAAGAGTTGCTTCCAAAGGTCACTGCCAACAGAAACAATATTTCCGAAACAAAACTGAAGCAAATTTCTCAACTTTTGCAAGACTCAAAAAATTTCAAGGGGGGTCAGTTGGTGTGCTTGACCGCATCTGAAGCCTATCATGCTGCTGCAATTGATGTCCTTGAAAGGCTCACTGACTTCCCCATGAGATCTTTACTTGCCATGCGTAGGAAGCTGAATGGTGACAAGAGTTACGTTCCCTCTCTCCACCCCCCGAGATCTGGACAGACTCATGAGCAGTTATGCAGCACACTGAAGAACAAATGCAAGAAGTTTCTATCAGTCCTTCGTGATGTGGATGAGCCTGCAGAAGAATTGGCCGGGGCACTGGGAGTTGCAGGTTTGACGCTAAAGCTAATTAAGAACTGCCCAGCTGTGCGGGACTTCTGGAAATTATCACCAGAAATTGAGGCGTTGCAAAATGAAATAGTGAAAGCTATTCATCTGATAAATCTGCCCAAGAGAGTGAGCTTGATAGAGCTGAAGAAGGTGCAGGTTTTGTTAGACCCTAATTTAGAGTTGTCTGACAAAAGTCTGCGTAATGCTGTACGGGGTCTCTTGACCGAGTACCTATTTGAGTGCAGTGACATGGACAGCGTCCCTGATTCTTTAGTAGAAACAGTTAACTTTATTAATACAAGATCGCAATTTCCATCCCTCAAGAAACGACGGTCGTCCAAGAGCCTTACGTCCCCTCAAGAATTTATGGGGGATGTAATACAGAAAGAAGTGGAACACGTACTAACAGTGAGTGCTCTAGCAAAAGAAGTGGTGTTGAATATTATTCCAGAACACGAATTTGATGAAGATTTTGCTCGTGCGTACTTGGAAGATTTTGCAGGAAACAATTTTCTATGTATTTCTGATGACGAGCAAGTTCGGGTTATTCCTGGGCATTACGAACTTCATTCTAGCGACTCGTATGATGGCAAGTCTGAAAGTATTGCTGAGACGATGCTGGTAAAGAGTGGTTCGCCTTCACCAACAAGTAAAAGGGATGATGACTGGTCTCCCTTTTGTTCTCCAGACCAGGGGTTAGCTATGTCCCTGGAGTCCATGCATATTCCCAAAATAGATAGGGATGAAACAGATGGTTCTGATTGTTTACTGTTCCGTAAGGAGTCAAAAGTAATGGACTCCAGCCACAATGGTGTTAAAATTGAAGGGGATACGAGCAGTTATTCTACCAACCCGAATTGTGTATCTTCGGAATTCCTGTTGGAGACGGACATTGTCAGCCAGCACAGCAGGTCCTGTAATAAGTACCTTCAGGTCCAGGAAGCTTGTGATGCCTCGAGTATGGTGGCCTATCGTTTTGTGGGTCGCTTGCTGGACAAGCTTGCAAATATTGAACGCTTAGAATTATACGAAGGTGATAGGTTGTATCTAGGAGGTGATTCTTCAGGCGTTGATGATTCTGAAGGTAATGTGATATTATATCCTTTTAGGTTCATGTGAAATCAATTATTCGGATCATTGCTTAGTTTCTTCCAGTCATATTTATGTTTGTATGCTTATCTGCAAGTGTGCATATTTAATTTGATTGCTGGTTATATATTCTAGTGCCAAAGGTTTTTGGAAGTGTTTAATTGCTATTGGGATACTTGATGAAGTGGGTCATGATATGGTATTATCCTTTTTTTTTTTTTTTTTTTTTTTTTTTTTTTTTTTT